CTCTTTTTAACTTTTAAAATTACATATTTGTGTTTAGGGGGTGCACAATGCTGGGGTACAAATGGAGCAGTCAGAGGACAATTTGTGAGAGTCAGTTCTTCCCTTCGACCATGTGGATCAAACTCAAGTCATCAGGCTCGGTGGTGGTGCCTTTAGCGGCTGAGCCATCTTGTCATCCCACAAGATGGCATATATGGTTGAAATATCTTCTTAAAATGTCAGGATGAGAGATTTAATGAGTGCCTGAAGACCATGTCGTCACATTACCTAGAGTTTTTTTTAGCATTGGGTCATCCCAGTTCCCTTAGTACTACTGAACATGAATGTGGGAAGTGCTCGTTTTTATGTCTGGGAGCTAATGAGAGGGTATTTCTATTTTAATGTAGTAAACGTTATCCATACACCTTCCTGCTGTCTTTCAAAGGGTTCCAGCAATGTGTTAAATATAAATGAGACGTACAGCTGGCCTCCAGAAAAGGCCACTCCCCCCTGCTCTTTCCAAAAAGCCAATAGAAGGGTTCTGGCACCAAATGGCTCTTGAATCTCTTCCAGGTCTCCTGAAAATTTCCTTGCAGACTGAGCAAGGATGTGACCTCACTCTCTCCTTTGTCCATGTTCTCTGCTTTTTGCTTAGCTCTTTAAATTTGACAAGTCAGTAGTTAACCTACATCAAGACCCCTAGTTCTGCTCTATATGGAGACCTGTATGACTATAGACACACACATGATGGCAGCATCAGAATGAAATGTGTGGGTGATTACAAGTCCCTGTGATTTGATTAGACCCTCCACATTCAACCCCCTCTACAGTCCCAAACATTTTCTGCACAGGAGAGGGAGACTTCAGGTCAAACAGAGGGAAAGTTTTTCTAAAAAAAAGAATATATATTTGCCATTTGAAAAACAGTGAGATTGTGGCATTGAGACGCCATTGCTTAGAAGAAAGGCTCATTTCTGTTCAGTTTGTGGAGATACATTCATAAAAACATATATATTTAAATGTGACCTTTTTATTTTGAAAGTGGAAACATGCTGGGTTTATACACACTCTTCTGGTTTCACTGCACTTTTCGCCAAAGTCCAAGGAGTCAGCAGTGACACCACAGAAAAACAAATGACGTGGGGCTGAGCTATCTTCTCCCTCACAGATACCAAGGTCAGAGTTGACAAAGTTTTGCTATGGTTTCAACATCATTTTATCTTCTGTGTGCATACATACCTGTGCGTGCCTACACACATTTGTGCAGGCATGTGTGTGGCAGTCAGAGGACAGCCTTGGATGTCCACCCTCACCTTCCACCATGTTTGAGACTGGGTTTCTTACCCCTTCCCACTGTGCACATCAGGTAGCTGGCCCTTGAACTTCCAGGGGGTTCTCCTGTTTCTGCTGCCATGTCATAGGAGCAGTGAGGTTGGACTCACAGTGCTTCACTTTTCATAGTTCCTGGGGATTCAAACTCAGATCCTCAGGCTTGAGTGACAAGGCCTTTACTCTGAGTCATCTCCCCAGCCTGTCATTCAAAGCCGTACTCTATAGAAGGAGAGCCGTGAATTCACATCTGGATACAGGGTAGAGCTCATGAACTTGAACCACCGTGGTGGACAGCACCCACAATCTGATGGGGGTCCTGGAGGCAGCGCTCCATGTAGGTCTAGCAATTGATAACTCAATCCTGCCATGTAGATTGTGGGTACCTCACCTGCAGTGAGGCCTGGGGAGCAGATTCACAATTCAGACATTAATGTCCAGTTGTGGCTGAGGGGCTCAGATTTGCTTTGCCTGTTGGGCTGTCCCTCAGAACTGCCCCTTCAGCTTATCTTTGGAGCCATATTGCTGTATCCTGTCATACCAATAGCCTTTTGCTAACCTGTGAGCTCTATTTAAAAAAAAAAAAAACTTAAATTACAGCTGGTAAAACCGTTGCTTCATCTGTCTCCATAGGACTTCTCCTTGCAGAATATTTCCTTTAGTCCTTAAGACAAATCACAGGTTTCCGTGTTCTGCTTAAGCGCCAGCCTCCACCCCTCCTCTGCTGACCTTGGCCACTGCATCTGCCTGCCTGTCCACTTAAGAATGCATTCGGACAGGCTTCAGCCAACCCCATAACCTTGACTGAGTGGCAAAGCTGAACCTGACTCTTCTGGGAACACCCGGAACCTTAAGCAAGAGGGCAGAGTCTACGTGACTAAAACATACCAACTTCCTCTTTCTTCAGTCATCACATGATGAACTACAATTACAATTCCTGCCTTGTCTCTGTGAATTGCAGACACATTGCCTCACCCCAGAAACCCTGCTCCTGTGTGTGGAGGAGGCAGGCTGTAACTCCAGCAGCAGCCGCTTTGGATGGGATCCAACCCCAGTCGGTGCCGGGAGGGAGGGCAGTGGGTGGAAGACAAAAACAAAGCTATGTTTACTTAGCAGATCTCGATAAAAACTGCTCCAGAGCTACATGAAAGGCCAGGCAGCATGAAAGACTCCTAATACAATATAAGGAATTGCTGCCCTGGATCCAGGGCTTGCCTTAATCCCCCGGAGCCCGGTTCCTTTTATGGTAGGCCAGCCCATATCTGGAAATAGCCTCTCCATTTTCCAGCAGGCAGGCATCTCCGGGGAGAAGTTCCAAGAGCTGCGTTTCGACATGAAGCGGGCTGTGTGAAATCTAAAGGAAATGTTCTTCTTTTGGAGAAGTAAGGCTCTGCTGTACAAAGACATCCCCACACACTTAACATTTCTCAAGGCAGACATTGTGCCTCAGTAATTCTATTTTGGGATAGAGCGGCAGGCTCTCCCTGGAGGGCATTCAGGGCATTTGCAGGTAAATGGGTTTAATCAGGCCACGCTTTAATCCTGAATTGTGCTGTTTAATATGTTTCAGTGTTTGCCCAGTGGGGCCATCTCTTAAGGGCAAACTGCAGCCAGGGTAGTTTCATCTCCCCTCAGTGTTTCTACGGGCAAAATCACCAGCTCCAGAGAAGCGCAGGGTCTCGTAAGACATTGACCAGGCTGACAGGTCCTGGAGCAGGTGCCCAAACCAGCTGGCACCAGCTGCTTCTGGGAAGGGATCCGGGTGGGCCCCATTCCAGGCTTGGAGAGGGCGAAAGACTATAACTGGAAGGGGAGATGGGGAGGTCCTGGACGATGGTGGACCTTCTCTGGAAAGCCCCAATAGAAGATATTCAAGGTTAGCCTGTGGACGCCCTTGGCATCTGGCAGCACACTGTGCCATCTCCAACAGGTTTATTCCTGTGCTCTAGGCAGGCTCCCTGAACTGTTTCTCTACGGGGCGTGTTTCCTCTTGTGGTTATCCTTTGAAGCAACCTGGCATTTTCAATAGCAACCGGAGAGAAACGTCAGCAGGATTTTTTTTTTCCCCTCCCTTTCCACCTACCAATCCAGCTGTAGGAAAGATAATATAATTAGTACCCTGTTCTTCCCACACTTAACCAGCTCATTCCAGTCTCTGGGAGAGAAGTGGGCCAATGTTCCCAACAAAAGCAGCTCCAATGCACTTACACAGAGCGGAAGTGTGTAAGTCCCAACAAAGCGACCAGCCCCGAGTGACCAAGCACAGACAACAAGCAGCAACCCCTCCTCCAGATCAGAGTACAACTCCGTGTTCGGTCCAGCCTAGGAGCGTCTGCACGGCCCACAGGAGAAGGGAGCCGCCGAGTGGCTAGGCAGATCTGCGCCCTTTGGGCTAAGGCTTAAGCCAGGCGAGACAACAGAGGGCCAAGTCCAGCAGCCTGCCGCGCGCACAGGGCACACAGGGAAAGCAGAGAGGCCAGGGCCTCCGGCCTCCCGCCAGGAGTCCAAGTTCGGCCCGCCCCGCAGCGCCTGAGGTTGGAGTCGGGGGCGGGGCCTGCGCCGTGACGCGACACGTTGCGGAGCGCGGATCCCAGGAATGTGCGTTCTCTCGGCGAGGCCCCAAGGCCCCGGGCGGTGGGTACGTCCGCGCGGAGCGTGCGCACTGGCGGCGTCTCGTGCCCACGTCATGCGCCCGCTGCGCGGACCTACATTAGGCGGCGGGGCGGCGGAGCTGAGCTCTCAGGTGGGCGCTCCGTGGCTGTGCGTCCTGGTGGGTGTGCGCCCTCGCAGGAAGCTGGGGCCTGAGCGCGTCTGGCTCTCCCTCCCGAGTTTGTAAAACTTAAAGGGGCAGGGGCCATGTGTCCCCTCCAGGCCAGCGCAGAGGAAAGGGTGTTGATCGCCAGTTAGGCCCAGCGGCACTCTTGCAAAAAGTCCTAAGTGCGCCCCGCTAAGTCTGAAGTCCCCCATCCGAGGAGATCGGAGGAAACCAAGTGACAAAGTGGCCTCGCGCGTAAAACAAGTCTGCACGATTTAACCCAAAAGCACAGAGCGGGGAATGGGGGAGGGTGCAGCGGCCTGGCTGGGTAGTGGGTACGGCGACGCAGAGGAACCGTAGGGTGACCTGCGCCCCACACCTGCAGCGCAGCAGGTCCGCGACACCGCCCTGGGCCACGGTCGAGCCAGTTGGCCACGCGCTCCTGCCGCGTGCGCGCACGCCGCCCTCCCCGCCTCCTGCGCGCGCACGCGGAAGGAGGGCGGGAGCACCCGGACGCGCGCGCGAGCGGGAGGGGTGGGGGCCGCGCAGGCGCCGTGCGAGGCTGTCGAAGAATCAAGTCTGTAGAAGTGGAGCGGCCGGGGCGGCAGCAGCACCAGCAGCAGCAGCAGCAGCACCGAAGCGCGCGGCGGAGGCGGCGGCGCAGGAGCTGAGCCGGGCTGGGCGCTGCACAGCCGCCACGCCAGGACCTGGGACCGAGTGGCG